AAATTTCAATATTTATATCAGTTTATGGCATTAAAGTTTTAGACAAAAATTGAAAAAAATAAAATAAAATTAAATAATAAAATTAAATAATTTATCGATATGTAATAAATATTATTACACTCTCCAATTGATTTAGTAGATCTAGTCGAATCTGTCTTAATGAAGACGATTAAATAGAATTTCAAATACAAATACGTATGCAGTACATATGCTTAGCATAGACAATGCAGGATATTCAATTAGAGCATCATCTCTCCTCTCTCTCTCTCTATCTGAATTTGAATTCAAATACAGTTAGCAGACGTTGGCCGTTTGCATAAAGCAGACGTTCGAAGTATATTACCCTAACAAGCTAAGGGCAGTCGAAATCACTGACCGGCATTTTATTTATGAGCGGCAATTGGGAGTCGCCTCGGGCGCAGCTGGTGCGCTTAATAAACGCTACGGCTGAACGTAGTCCGAATATACGAGTAAATGGCACACGAATTGACCATACACACACACACACACACACACACACACACACATACACATACGCACATATGCGCTAAATTAGCTTGAATAAATTTCGGTTTAGTCCAGGCAAATGAAGTTGTCAACGCCCCAAGCATCTTTGCTGAATCTCATCTGCAGATCGAGCGCTACAACGAGCTGCACGATGCGATTGACCAATGCGAGGATGGGCACTGCCTGAACGGCTGGCTGGCCCTCGATGTGAGGCCGCTCAAGCACGGCCTGCTCAACCTGGCCTGCAAGTGGTCGCACCTCCACAAGCAATGGCTGCTGCGCTACGTGCAGAAGACGCTGCAGGTGAGCTCGCTGGAGTAATGGCCCGAAAAAGAATGCTGTCGAAAAGTTAATTGGCTTTAACAGGAGCTAAACGGTTTCATTGCGCTCAGCCACGAGACACTGCAGCTGCACATCGGCAGGCAGGACTTTAAGGCGCTGCTCCGAGTGCTGTCCGTCATGGCGGAGATACGAGAGCGGGAGCCGTACGCGGACAATGTGTTTAAGCCGCTTAAGGACATCGTGGCGCTCTTAAAGACCTACAACGTGGAGTTCGAGCCGCAGCTGGTGCGCAACATTGAGCAGCTGCCGATGCAGTGGCAGCAGCTGAAGCAACAAGCTCTGGCCAAACACGAGGCTCTCCAGGACACACGCCACTACCAAAAGCAGCGCGTAACGGCACTCATTGGCCTGCATACGTGCCACGTGCAGCATTTTGCCAAACAGTTCCAGCGCATGCCGGTAAGCTGAGCTCTCCCCACACCCCACTCCCCCCTCTCCAACCAGTATTAGCGTCTGCCTTGCACATTCCCCAGTTCTTCTGTGTGCCCTGTCCACAAATTTACGATGCCTGCGACCAGGTTTACGTGCGTCTCCATCGCTTTGGCAGCCAGCAGCGGCGGTACGCACGCTGGGCCCGGCTGCTCGATATACCGGAGCCCGACACCGCCACACTGGAGCACTGCCGGACGGAGCTGCGGCGCGTGAAGGTAAGCAGGATGCGGACTGTGTTTGGGCCCTTTCCCCATGGCTGACAGATTTCGTGCCGCCCGCAGCAATTGTGGGACTTTGTGCGCGTCATCGAATCCTGCATTGTTGACTGGCATGCAACACCTTGGCTACACATCGACACGGACGACGTGGAGCACGAGTGCAAGAAGTTCACGCGCGATTTGCGCACACTTGACAAGTGCATCAGGGACTGGGCCCCCTATGTTTATATTGTGGGCGTGTTGCGCGAACTGGTTGCCTCGCTGCGCGCGGTCACCGAGCTCCAAAATCCAGCAATTACCGAACGCCATTGGCTAGAGCTGATGCAGTTGTCAAAGGTAAGCGAAGCGAGAAATCCCAGCCAGCAGTGCTGAAAGTCAATAGCAGCAGCTGCAGCTGCACCACCCACCTACCCGGCCACCACCATCACCCACCCACACACGCAATCCCATCCTCATCATTGCATCACTGCAATTCCAACTGATTGATCCACAAAGCGCCATTTTACATTGCGCCCTGCCAATTGCATCCCGCTGCCGTCTCACGTGTGCGTATTTGGCAATCACATTACCTGCAGGCTGCAGCAGCGGATTGGGCGTGGATTACAGTTGCCATAATCCAGCCAGGGCGCTCCTCGTCGAGTGCTGTACTTTCCTCATATTTATTTACCACTACAATTCATTTCGAGCCAATTTAAATATTATTTTTTATACACAGCTTTAAATTGCTAAACATAAATCTAATTTATTTCTAAAAACCTATTCATAAAATTTATTTTCATATTATTATAATTGCATTAAATTAAAATTTTTTTTATATTTTCGTTGAACGTCATCTTTTGTTTATTACATAATTATTAGGTAATTATTTACATACGTACAATTGATTAGTTCGAACGCTTAGCAATTTATGCATTCCAAATTCCATGTTTCAGGGCCAAAATCGAATCGATTCTTTGATATGTTGTCAAAATATTTATGTAATTAATATTTGTTGTTCTGGCCAAATAAATAATATTTATATTGAATATATTTACGGAATACGCAAATATTTTAATTCAATTAAATTGCGTTTAATTAGCTGCGACACATTAAATAAAAGAGAGAGAGAGAGAAGGAAACAAAATGAAATGCAAACAGTAATTTCAAATGAATGAAAATTTATAAATACAGATTTTTATTATGC